ATGAGAGAAATTTGTTTTCTCTGAATTTTAGAGTTAATATGACGATTTAAAAATCAAAATTATTAAACGTTAATTCAATTAAATTTAATATAATATTTCACTGTTTAACTGTGTATAACTTTTTTATTATCGGTTAGAAAAATCTATATCAAACAAATTTAGAAATAAGAAATAAAGATGCCATATATTTAGCAGATTTAATTTTAAGTTGTTAAGTATAACTATAGTTGTGGTAATTTAATTTAAATACAGTTCTTCTTTTATATGACGTTTTATGTTACTCTATAGCTATAGCTACCAACATTTTTACATTTAATATAATTTTTTTTTTCTATGGAGTGGTATTTCAGAGAAAAGTTAGGTTGGGTTAACTAACTTTTAAAACTCTATTTAAAAAATGTAAAAATACTTAAAATACTTAAAACTTTGAAAAAGTATATAAAGTGACTGCCCTGTACTCTACTATGAAGTAAAAAAGTTAAGCAGCGTTCCAGCTACAAGTTGACGCTGTATAACATTACGTCACACAGTATACCACTGTTTCCGTTGCTGAAAAGCGCTTCATGTAGGTAGGTACTTATCGGTATATCGGGATTGAATTATATATATCCATATTGTATAAATCTGCATAGATTTGGATGTTTGTTAATGCTGCTCCATTGCAAGCGCCGTTCAGCTTATCACGCATAAGATTAATACAATGATATAGATACATTAAACATGTATCGAAATTGATGAGCCGATATTGAATAAATATCTCATTATCGGCAATAACGATGATGTGTTAAGGACATTATATAACCAACTTGCATTTTGCGAATAATTATTTTCCATTTATCAATGTCCGCGTTAATAATGTTCGCGTGAACATGAAAATTCACCACTTTTCATATTACAATTATATTTAATTGTTGTTTATACCGTTTGTAATTTATAAATATTATATTGATCTAATGAGAATATATTTCCGACATTTTATTAATAAAGTGCAAGTTGTTGACTTAATTTCAGCAAACCGTAATGAATTAATGAATTTTGACGGACATTATTTTCTTTTATATCGTTTCATTGCCATTTTTTGCTTTCAATATAATTACGTATGTACATTGTCTGTGAAATACCTTTAATGTCCGTGTAATACATATATAGCATAATAAAAATCTTGAAATTTTAATTCGACGGATTATAGATTTATTAATATGCCATGAGAGAGAATCAAATTTCATTTGACGTGACATGGCGTCGGCGTTCGTTACATTTCAAATTGTATTAAATTTTATTGATTGCGTAAACTCTAGGTCTCTATCTCCGAATTCAGAAATTTTGGATATTTAATAATTCATTTATTGGATATCCATTTATCATTTTAAATACAATCCATTTCAAGGATGCATATCTACATAGTCGGCTTTTTGTATATAACGTGGATAATTGTCGATGACATCGCGCGCATGAAATTATATATACTCATTCAATTTCGTATTGCATATTTCAACAAGTTTCATTTTACTCTGCGGTCATAGAATTTCATATAGTCGCACGTGAATTAATTAGCTTGTTATAATTAATCAACAATTTATGTTGCATTTCAATGAAAAACGCATCAGTGCTCAACTAAAGACTGTAAGTTGAAAATTTAAAATAATTTCATCTTTACAAATATATATATATATAAATTTTTCATTGAAAAGATATTTTGTGCGTACATTATTTTTTTGTATACACATTTAAGTATTACACATATAAAAAAATTTCATTAATATATAATATTATACATACATTAATTTATTAAATATAGTCAAGATTAATTTTTCATTAATGTATCGTAAACGAAGATTTATAATCTCTAGGCTAATATTTTTTGTTTGAAAATTATTATTTATTTAATTTGATTGACCCACCTTATGTGAATTTTTAAATAAACGAAAAAAGAAATTAAAGCAGCATTAGGAAATATTGATTTGACTTTTTTGAGTATTATAATTATAAATTCTCCCACATTGTTACTATTAATGAAATATATTCACTTAACTTTAGATTGAAGTTGAGGAAAGTTAAACGCGATTATTAAGAAAAAAAATAAAGGTTTGAATAAACATCCGCACATGCGATTATATGTATAAATATACATATAATTTGGGTATTTGTATTCAATATTTCTTATTACATTTTTATTTTAATACGTTTAGTCTGTAATTGATTGAATAAAAATAATAAGTTGCTTTTATTCCTTTATTCTTTTTGCGATATCTAATTAAAGAATATTTAATTAAAGAAAAAATTCTTATACATTTTTTCAAAATTTTAAAGAAGAATAAGTTCTATACGATATCGATTGGATAATAAATACTGTATAAAAAGAGTTCTTAAAGAATATTCAAATCAGAAAAATTAAAATTTATCAAGTAATTTCATTCATTATATTGTCTTATATTTTATTAAATTTATTTTATTATTTAAAAGAAGAAAATTTTTTTTATCAATATTGACATATGAATATAGAAATATGATGTTAATTTGTTTATTCCAATTATGAAACCATATCCTGTAATTGCAAATTTTACGATTATGACTATTGAGATGTAATTAAATAAATAACATACGTATGTGTGTGTGTGTGTGAGATACAAATATATGTAGACATGCAAAGTAATTAATGATTTTCAGGTCCTCTGCAGATTTTATACTGCTAATTTCTCGAATTTATTTAAGCGATCGTTATGACATAACATTTCAATATAAAATCGTTTGTAGAATCTTATGATAAAAAAACTGATCCAATAAATAATAAAAAAATAATCTTCATAAAAATTTAGAAAGTGATAATAACTTAACTTATTAAATTTTTTATTAATACATAGCATATTTATTAAGAAAGTATCTATTAAGACAAATATCTATTGCTTAATATAATATTACATTATACATGCTATTTTTAAATCAATTTTAATTACAGTTTCAACCATGATATCGTTATTATATTTATTATATATATGATTTTTTACGAAATTAATTCATGTTATCTAATAATGATTATGATACTATAATTGATACTTTTATGTCACTCTTAATATGAGTTATGCATTAGAAACTTAACACGCCCCGAATTTGCATGTAACTTGATTATATATATTAATCACATTGACATATAGCGCCACTCGATATTAGTGTCATATTCCCGATAGTATAATACGCCGTATTACTTCTTTGGCTAATGCGTAATTTCCCGAAAAAAGTTTTGTTGTAAAAAAGACCCTTATAGGAGAAGGCGATGATGTCTGAGCGTTCTTGTCCGTCGTTTCAGTCTGTGCTATTCATCATGATACCAATCATCATAATTCATATTCCAACGAAAATTCGTCCTGTCATTAAACAGATCGTTGCAGTAACTCAATGTCAATGATACAAAATTTATGTTCGTGAATTAATTTTATGTTCGTTAATTGAATTGCACTGGTTTATAATCAAAACGTATTTTATAGCAAATATTTTAAAGTGTTTTTTAGATTTTCAAGTAAAAACGATGTCGCGCAAATCAAATTTTACTGACACATTAGATTTATAAAATAATTAAGGTTTAATATGTAAAAATGGTTTTTTTACGATATTTAAATTATTTTTTTGTAAAAAAGGTTAACCTTTTTCATAAAAAATTCAAATATCACAAAAAGCCATTTTTGCATATTGAACCTCAATTATTTCGGAAACCTGATGTGATGATGAAAATTGATTTGCAGCATCGTCTTTAGCATTTAAAAATCTATAACATTTGTCTGCTTTAAAATAATGAAAAAAAATATTTTTTGGTAAACTAGTATTATTTTAATTTTTAGAAATTAGAAATTTTGATATGCCCTTATTCTTGTATTATAGCTTGATGTTATACCTACATATTATTCTATCCCCCATAGTGCGATAAAATCTTAGATGCCATCGAGACATTTCCACAGCCTGTCCATTCCATTATTGTCGATTTAGGGTCAATTCATGATGAATATTTTTCAGCAACAGAATATAAACATAATATCGACTTGTAGCTGGAAGTGCTTAGTTTTTTTTACTTCATTGTCAGAGTGCAGATCAGTCACTTTACATAGTTTTTTCAGTTTTAAGTTTTTTAAAGTTTTTTTTAAAAGTTTACTTCTTACCAGAATATCATTCCATAGAAAAGAAAATGATACTAAATGTAAAAATGTTAGTATTCGTGAAGTAAAAACGACGACATCATTGAATACAACATTTTAGCTGTGCACGACTCTATCGATTTGTTTCGTGATTGAAAAACATCAATATTATAATATACAATAAAATAAAAACATGACATGATACAAAATTATTGTATATTTACAACATGTAAGACGTGACATTTTTATTCCGATTTTGATTTAACAAATGTTTTTAACAAAATAATTAAAAATCAGTTTTTGTCATAAAAGATTTAGCAAGTTATTATTAAATGGAAAAAAAGATTAAAACAATGAGTCTGGATTCAGATATTAAGAAAAAGAAATTTTTAAGTTTTTTTTACAGTTTACAATTACAAAGTTGTATTGTTTATCGTTTTCGAATTGTTATAATTATGATGAAATAACATTTTATAAATATATAATTTTATATAAATATAAATATTTCAGAATCGGTCGGTCTACAATAAAATATATCTTCTTAAAAATCACACATATAATTTCACAAAATAGAATTTAACTCCTCTTTAGAGGAACTCCAATAGAAATTCTTTACCCCAGAAAAATCACATAATTATATTTTATATTGTAAAAATAATCTGCTATATATTTAAATTCTCATATACATATATGTATATAGTCAAGTAGTCACACTATTAAGCAGGAACATAATATGACATGTGAATTTGTAATGTTTATATATTATAAAAATATTATATATATTAATATATAATATATTTTATAAAAATGTATATTTAGTCTCGTGAATTTGAATCTTTACCTAACTAAAAGCAAGAGGAAGGATCGTGTTCTCACCTGTCGGCTTGCATATCGACATAGTCGGTTCGCTGGACTTGCGCCTGTATCTGTATTTGCAATCCTTTTGCTTGGCCCATTTTGGTCTCCTCTTTACCTTCTTTCTCCTCTTCCTCCTCTTGTCGCTCTTCATTTGCCGTCTTCTCGTCTTTCATATCGCAATTATCCATTGTTACGTTCTTACAATCCACCTGCGCAAGAAAATCCGAGAAATATGTAAATCCAGCAAAATATAAAAAAGCTTCTCACATATTGATTAAATTTTCTAATATAAATATAAAGTGAGAAAAATATTAAATTTTTGATGATTTTTTCTAGTTCTATAGTATATCAATATATGCACTGGAAAAAAGATTTTGTTACATTAACAAAAATTCTGTTCGAATATCGATGAAACAGAAATTATTAGTTAAATCGACCATAATTTCTTTTAATGCAATAAGATTATTGTTTACACAACAAATCAGTTATTTGTGCTAACTAAGATTCTTGTTGCATTAAAAGGAATTATGGTCGATTTAACCAGTAATCCTGTTTTGTCGAAAAACAAAACATTTTTTCCAGTGATGACGTAATTGCAAAATAATCAATTTTATTTAGATTACACTCTTATATAGAATTATTTACACCTGTGTGTGTATTATAATATAAATAATAAAATTTGCATTTTTCCTGAAATATATATTTAAAAGTCGAACTGAAAAGTAATTACGCTAGAAGTTTTTGTACTATTAATTTACAATAATTATTATTTAATTTTTCTAGTTTTTTTTAGATTTTTATTTTTCTTTTATAACGATTTTGATAGATACATATATTAATGAAATAGAAAGAAATAGAAGAAAAGAAAGCAAAAATATCAGATAACTATTATTGATTTTGATATTAAACTTTTAATTTCGTGAGCTATATTTCTTATGTGAATTATCAATTTTAAATTTAAGTCTATATGCATTTAACATGTTTGTCTAAAATATCTAGTCTGAAAATATCTTATATCATTGCCTTGTTTTTATCAATGTTTTGTAATATAATAATTCTTACAATTTTTCGTAATAATAACACTAGTTAACAAAAAAGTTTTTTTTTTATTATTTTAAAGCAGAGAAGGTATTTTTTAAATAGATTTTTGGATACTGAAAATGACCGCAAGCCAATTTTTACTAGCACATTATATTTCTGAAATAATTCAGATTTAATATGCAAAAGTCAATTTTCTGCTATATTTAAGATTTTTTTTAAAGTCAATGTTATCTGAAAATTCTGATCAGATGTCATGAATGTATTGTGTATCCCCTATAAAATGAATTTCAATTAATGTAACTTTTCTTAATAACAATTTTTTGAGTAGAGATCTATTTGAAATTTTTAATTTTCTTGCACGTAATTACGTATTCTGTATTTTCGAATTTACAGAATTAATTGCACTAGTAGTTACCGTAATGGGATATAGTTCCTCTTGCCGCTCCTCGTTCTCGGATCGAATCACAATGGTTTTCGGTATAATGTCGCTGTCGTTTTCCGCCATCTCTTCGTCCTTTCTCGTTTGAGCGCGGTCACAAAGGCCCAACAGGCAATACACACACACACGCACGCGCACACACACACACACACACACACACACACACACTTTTAATTTCGTTCACGTATATCACCTATACGTTCTGCGACTTTGACCGGAGTCTTTTCTGTTCGTGTTTCGTTCAATCGTGTTACATTTTCACCGTCGTTCACTTTTCGTTATTTCCACGAAACATTTTACAATGACTCGTACCAAGTTTGTTACAAATATCGTTCGTACAGAAAAATTCGTTAGATCAGGAGACTATGGCGAAATACTATGATCGTTGATCTTCACGTAGGAGGAAATGGGAATATCCTGAACACACATTCAAGTAAAAGGGCATGTGTCAAGGTCTCGCTGGGATTGATCATTACGATCGCGTTCTATTATTAGATAGAAACTATCGTATTGGATTTAGGATAGTAGATATGGAAGGTCTTTTCTTTTCAAAAATTCATGTTGCTCCTTTTTTTTATTTATTCGAGAAAATTTACAAAATACTTTTTAAGGACAAGAAGTAAATAATTTGAAAAAATAAAAGGATAAAACTTTTGCAAAAATAGATTTTAATTGATTATATATGTAATTATTTAAACGTTATTAATTATTCCTCACAGATCGTGTCATTTTTAGTGAGATGGAAAAATATTAAGTAAAATATATTTTTTAAATATATTTTTATGCATTAATATACACAATAATGATAATAAAGAGAAAATTTATAAAACAGAAATTATAATTTTATCTGACAAATTATTGTTTAATGAATCTCGAGAGAAAATTTTTGATCATAATATTTTTGTTATAATATATTTTTCATATTTTTTTTTGTTATATGTCTGTTTTATTAATTAAAAAGTATTAAATGCAAATTTGATTCTTAACTTTTAATTCTATATATTATTTTTGTGCATCTAATTTCGTGATAAATTATATTCTGACATTTAGTTAAAGTTAAAAGCAAATGGCGAGCTGAATGTTCACTTTGAAAGGACTCTTTACGAAATGAGGCAATAATACTCGAAACAATAAACTAGGTAATAAGTAACTCAGTTTAACAAAGTTGTACAAAGAAATTTCTTCTTTTGTGAAGATTAATAAAAGTTAATGCGAACTTTCTTTATCATTTGAGATCAGATAATGATATTTTCTTCACCGAATAATGGTCTTAGTATAAAAATTAAGCACTATATAAACACAATTTGTATGATACATACATACATACATATATATATATATACATACATATATATATATATATATACATACATATATATATATATATATATATATATATATATGCATATGTATATATTGATTATACATTTTCAGACAATATCAATAAGCGAAGCGCGCGGTTGTGTCTGGTACATAATAAAAATTCAGAAATTAAAATTATACATAATTAAAATTTGGCAAATTAAAATTATGTATATAATAGACAATCAGGAATTAAAATAAAATATGAAATATATGCAATAAAATATAAAATAAAAATATAACTGTTTAATATAACACTGATTATATATATATATATATATATATATATATATATATATATATATATACATATAGCATTATTTATACCTGCATTATTATTTAATGAAAATTATTGAATTGTATTTCTGAAATTTGTATTAGTATTCTATTATCAGTTTATTATACCAATAACAATTTGCTATTATAATTAAACTTGATAATAAAACTGAGGTTAATTTATGAGTCGACACAATTAGTTTTACTTGTAATTTTTTATTGTATTAAAAACACAAATCTGCTTATAAATATTAAAGAATATAATTACGCACGCAAAGCGAAGTTATATTATTCTTTGATAATAAAATCTCAAAAATTGCGACACATGCATGCAAAAATTATTATTGCAATCACTGCATAAAAAATATATTAATTATGCAACGCATAAAAATTCAATATTTGAATCTTTAATAGAAAATATTTAACAGAACGAAGAAATAAAATTTTCTACAAAAATCTTGTGTGATCAAATATATACGCTGATCAAATATCTTTAATTAAACTCGGGCGAGACTCCATACCCCATATATCCCTCATGCTGCGCGGTTCGCGCGAAACTGATTCTCTGCGAGATATCGCAAGCGCGGGCCCGATGGTCACATGACCACTGGTCACATGACCAGTAGTCACGTGACCAGTAGTCATGTGACCATCGGTCCCGCGCTCGCGATACCCTGCATGAGAATCAGTCTCGTGCGAGCCGCGCACCCTAAAGAATATGTAGGATGTACTACTCTGATCACGTGATCAGTTTCGCGCGAGCCGTGCAGTATAACGGACGCGTGCAGATACGCGAATCTAATGGAAGTACATTTTTTAGATATTTTGATCGAAAGATTCTTGTAGAAAATTTTATTTTTTTGTTTTTTGTTAAAAATTTATATATTAAATTTTTAACAAAAATTTTTATGAATCACGTAATTAATAAATATATTTTATGCATGTATTGCAATAATAATTTTATACGTGCGTTGCAATTTTTAAGGTTTTATCAAAGAATAATATAACTTCGCTTTGCGCACGTAATTATATTCGATTAAACTAAACGAAATGAGAAAAAAATATATAGAGAGTATATTATTAAAATACATTTGAAGATAATAAAATAGCAAGACATTTAAAATCAGTTGGAAACAAATGTTTTGAAATTGAAAACATTAATGCATTTTGTCATGAATCAATAAAATTAACGATCTTTGTGCGATATGTGACCTCATTCGATATTTGAGACATCCCAACACGGGAACGTGTTCAGATCGAGATCTATTAGTATTTGGTGGCGCTCATACTCGAAGATGTCTAATGATGATAATACAATTACGAATTGAATAGTTAAGGGTTTCCAGTGAATTGAACTGCGTGCTGTTGTTTAGATAAAGCTTCTATCTGGCTATCCCTTGTGACTTTATCTCCATAATTTGTACATTGATAACAATTGAAGACACATGCTATGGTTGATAATAATGTCAGATAACGATTGCAATATGTCGCGATTGTGATTAACAATGAGAAATCATGAAGAATATAATATCGATTATAATGTGCAGTATTCTGTAATATATTTGATATTGTAATTAATGTCACGATGTTTTTCAATAACATTAAAATGATATTTACACACAATAATTTTTTATGTATACATAATATAATATGCAACAAATTTAAATAAAAGATATTTGCAATAATTTTATATAAAAAAATATTAAAATATATATTTTAATTAATAATAATAAAAAATTTTATTAGAAACTTTTGATAAAATTTAAAAAATAGTAAAATGTTAAGTATTTGTTATCTAAATAAGTTATCTAAATAAGTTATCTAAATAAAATTACATAGATGATTATCTCGATAAAATTTTGACGTCAGCCGTAAATAATAAAAACTTATATAAATAAAAATATGAATATATTTTTATAACTCTTTGATAACATTTTTTTAATAACTGTATTGACATAAGCGGTCTTAAAAATAATATTATCTCAAAGTTATTTAGATGAATTGTCATATAATTTTATCTTTTATCTAGATATATTTAAAATAAAATTATCTTTATCTTATCTAAGATCAATTTATATATACTTTCATCTTATTTTTATCTAGTTAATTTTGAAATTATCTAAGCACAACACTGGTTAGGTAGATAATTCACGGAAAGAGTTAAAATTCAGGTAGATACATTATATGTTATGTAAATCGCTTTGAAATTGGATGTATAAACAATATGCGTATTAACAAACTAGGTTCAATATATAGCATTAAATTATTCAGACTATTATTATAAGAGTAGAATTAATTTGAATCCAGTTCAATTTGCATTTAAAAATATATATAGAAAAAAAATATATAGTACATAAAGCTGTATTATAAGTACGTTGCAGTGAAGATTTTTAAAAATGACGTAAAGGTATAATTTCTTTTATATGACTTCTATATTTCTGTTCATCTGTCGCATTCTGAGACACTTAGCATTTATATGGCTGTAGTGATGACTTGAACGAGACAGGTTCAGTGGCCCACTCGTATCAGTTTTTTATCAGTTAATCTTGGGAGTTAAGTCTTGCGGAATGTTCTCTTTTTCAAAAAAGTTCGGTTAATGATCTATCACCCATGAGATGTAGCTAATACGTTGAGGTGATCTTGCTAATTTGCTGCATTGTACTTTTTAACTTCGTCTTTCATCACTTTGGAATATTCAAGTTTTCATGTATGACGTCGTCATGTATGACATCATTCATTGGTTACATACCAGGTCACGTCAACAATCATCCGGAGGACTTGTAATTTCTGAAGTATATTGATATTCGATTTTGCTGCCGCATCTCACAACTGAATGTCATAGGTCCAAACTGGTTTAATGTTTAATTGTTCTGTAGAGCAATAATTTTGTTTTCAAATATTTAGTTAAAAACTATAAATAATGAAAAAATATCTTCGAATTTTAATGCGATCCGTTTTCGTCATTTGATGAAATAATATATTTTGACAGGAATTGCACTAAAGAGATTTTTTATTTCTATTTTTTAGTAGCAGATGCACTTTTCATTTTTGTCGTGTGCGTTCTGTACAAATTTTCCTTTCTTTCATGATTCATATCGTTGTAAGAAGCCAAAAGAAATATTTGAACGGTTGGCTGAAAAGTGTAAAAATCATGCGGAATAATTTATAATTTTACGCCTAGCACACTTCGATAAGCTTCAACAGATGTGAAATTGTGGCTTTTTATATATCTCTATGTTAGCATTCTAATCTAGATATGTCTCGAAGACGGTAGTAGCTGAATATTTTAATATAGCTTATGTATAACAATTTCTTTTATTAATCCTCTTCTTATAATCATATTTTCAAGATCTTTTTATTTATACATAAATTCTTAGAGAAATAAATTTCAACGTACATCTTTTATAATAAACATTAACTATGTTAGTTCAAATTTGTTATAAAGTAATTAAACAATCTGCGTTTAATTAAATTTACACAATATTGATTTCCTTTTGGATTGATTAGAATAAAATATTAATGTTTATAATAAAGTATATACTCCTGCTTGATCTTTATTGTATTATTTTGATATTTTACTTTTTTCATTTTTTAAAACAGTTTTTATAATATAATCTATCGTATAAATATAGAATATTTGATTGATATATTTATTGGGATATTGTATAATAAGTAATGGGTTAAATATTATTTAAATTATGTCAAGATTTTGAATGAAATTTTATATTACAGTTTAAAGAAAAGAAACTGGTAAAATCACTATTTCATATACTTTTTTT